ATCCCCACCGTCTCCTATACTTCCCCCCTACGCCCAGAGAAGTCGAGAATTTCATCGCTCGAATCGATGGCTTGCGGAAATCTCTTCAGTCGGGTGCTACGATAGCTGTGCATCGACATTATGGCTTAATCGGTACGCCGTCACTTCCAAAAAAACAAAAAACCGAAAACTGAGCTGACCACTTCGTGTCTGTAGAACCGGTTTCCTCATCATCTGCTACCTCGTCGAACGTCTGGGTTGGAAGTTAGATGCTGCTATTGAGGAGTTTCGACAAAAGAGGGCGCCGGGGATTAAACATGAGTATTTTCTCGATGAGCTTTATTTAAGGTATCGCGGTAATATGAGTCGTAGAGCCACGAATGGGAATGGGAATTAGGGGTTTGTGGAGTACGAGATACCCTGAATTGAATGGCATGAGACGTTTGGATTTGCATTTCGAGGATGAGATGTGGGCTGTGGATGGGATGAGAATAGATGGAGGTGAGGGTGAGGTGAGTGCTGATTACACTCTTACGAATGAAACGCTGCACTAAGCTGAAGAGCCGTACCGTTAACGCCCCTGATGTCGCAGCTGGATAGTGCCGACGACGATGAATTCTGGAGTGGTCAGCCGATATGAGTAGTAGACTGATTCATCACTTTCGGCTCAATCTCGGGACTACATAAGAGGCAGCTGAGGTGCAAGCAGCTAACATCTCCCATCTTCTGGCTAGCTGGCTATACAACGCACACGAATTCAAATTCGGATAGTCCTCTTGACTCGAAAGTTGTGGAGCGGTAGTGAATTGGAAGATGGTGACAGGTTCACCTTGTAATCGGTCGGGTATTGTTTCAGCGTCGAGGGTGACGAAGAGCTTTCAAGATCAAATTCTGACTGAAGAGACGTTTGGACGCCGCCGCAGTCTTGATTTTCTTCAGAAAGTGTGGAGTCTACGGATATGTTATGTTTGTGTTTGATAAGCTGGTCGGCGAGTATGGCTTTCAGCTCGAGTATGGCTTGCCAGGATTGATGTTCGAAAGACACAAGGATAAATGTCGAGACTCTGCGCAACACTAGCCGCTTTCTCGAAAGATGGGAGACCGCAAGTCAAGGGATTGGCAGTAGGAAGGATGGTTTTGACCTTTCGACGGAAGGATTTAGCATGAGTGAAGGTAAAATTACGTGGCGATTGGTGCCGAAAGGGTACGCTCGCTGAATTAATCGACTTACTCTTTCCATTGATCGACTCTTCGAATTCATCGAATCCGGCTCATTCCTCTTCAAAATTGCAAACCAGCTTGTAGATTATCCACCACCGAGAATTGCCTAGGAGAAACACACGCCATCCTACAGTAGTTCAAAGATTCCTGCCTCTCTTACTCGATACTGTGAACGTGTCCCCATCCTCATTCACGTACACTGTCCCGAGTTTTCCTTTCCAGCTCTTCAACATGCCTTTCCCTTCCCCTTACTAACGAGATCCCCATCCACGCGGTCCCAAATTTCTCCGATGAAAAGTCCAATCTCGTTCCTCGCAGTCCAAAAACCTTTCTTAACAGACAATGGACCACAAGTTCCCGTGCCTGCCTGCCGTCTCACCCAAATGCCTAGGAGCATCTACTCAACGAACTAGACAAGATCTGAAGCTGCTGATCTACATTGAACGAGTGCGGAATTTGTATTTTGGTGGAAGGCTCTGATATAAATTGGCCGGCGCTATGCCTTCGTGACAGTCGGTCGATGTTCTTGAGCTCACAGGCTTGCAACGATTCGCTTAGAAGGCCCTGTGATGGAGTTGTATCAGTTTGTGATGTTCGACGTGGCACTCCCCGCGAAAAGACACTGTTCGCTATCGAACGACCACAGTTGATACCTTCTGCATGAAGCCTTCGCCATCTCTCACCCAAGCGCTGTCGCTCGACGTTGTGTGTTCGATCGGTTGGCTGGCGTTTTGTCGTGTGATGGGGAATAGCAAGCTTATGGATGATGTGATGTGATTTTGCGTTGCCATCACCGTTGAACTCTTGTCATCGAGCGACGAAGCTGTTGTCGGTGGACGAGCATATTCGGCAGCGTTTGGGGGAAGCCGTGGATTGAGTGGGTTGAAACTGCGAGCTAACGGGGTCGTCACTCGGTGTTGCGTGTCGGTGTCAGGATATATTGGTTTGTGATCGGCGTGCTGGCTTCGAATCGTGAGGATGAGCTTGGATGAAGTCGTGAGCAACGCGAGGAGGGTTTGTGGAGTGCTCTCGTTGAAAGACACTGCCGTTGCCAATGCTGGATTTGCCTAGAAATGTCTGGTCGAGATGCTGCGGTCGAAGCGTCGAAGCCATGAGAAGAGTCAGTATAACCTCACCCTCGCGAACCACATCTGGCGCTCTGCTATCTGCTGGAGATTAGTAAACAACGCGTTGGAAATGAAAGGCTCAGCTATGGCTTTGCGGCGCGAGCGCGCCGTCTTAAAAAATCATTTCGTAGTGGTGTGTGGTATTTCTGCAAACACTGCTGAGCTCTCCTGGGCCCAGGTACAAGTCTTTCACTGGTGCTTGAACGCTATCATAAATCAAATCGACAGCATTGCCTGGTCGATGAGGCGCTCATGCCTCAGTTCTGGTTCCAGAGGCAGAGGAGCGCCTCCGTCACCGCCATGCTGCCCTCGTAGCTCGCATTGAGCTGTTCCACACAGTCCTCCAGCTCCAGGGCCAGTTGCGCCGGGCCCAGCGACGGGACGAAGGGGATGAGGGCCATCACCCTCTGGCAGAAGCTGATGCCTTCCACTGGCTCACATTAGCTTTGACTCTGAACGTGACTGATAGGTAGGACTTACGAGGAGGCACCTCGGCGGCGAGCAGGACCTCCAGCAGGCGAGCGACGTGCGGCGTCATGGCCATGTTGTTGGTGGTGTCGGTGGTGGTGTCGGTGGTGGTGTCGGTGCTGGTGTCGGTGCTGGTGGTGGTGGTGGTGCTGGTGTTGGTGGTGCTGGTGCTGGTGCTGCTAGTGCTGGTGGTGGTGCTGTTGCTGTTGTTCTTGTTGTTGTTGTTGCTGCTGCTGCTGCTGTTGTTGTTGCTGCTGCTGCTTCCCTCGCGGTTGTGGTTTTGCCGGTGGTGGTGGCTTCTGTTCGCTTGAGTGAAGATGTTGTTGCTGAGAGAGAGAATTTCCGGTGAAGTTTACCCATAAAGCGATCCGCAGTCTGCAGCCTAACGACCGTTGGACCCGCAGCTTCATCCCCCTGTCAACATCACTTCTCGATCCGCTGCTGCCATGCAAATGGCAAGAGGGACGGTCCCGCTGTTGAAGCCACTCGAACTTCATCGTGCCATCGACGGTCTCCTAGCATCAATTGATTTTGCGCGAGTCTTGCTTCATAGACTCCGTACAGCGAACAACAAGATCGGCTCTCGCTCAAGACTCTCGACATTCGATTTCAAGATCTTCTACGGACAGAACAAGAACGCAGACATTCGATTCGACAGGTGCAGACGTGAGCATGGTTGGACTCAGACCAGTTGGTAGCTTCACGGCTGCTCTCGACTCAAGAAAGGATGGCACAGTTGTGGAACCATTGACAGACATTGTTCTGATGTCCTCTCCAGTAATCTCATGCGCCGCAGTCTCGGATCTAAATCGTCCAAGTCGAAGGTTTTGGCATCGAACGTCCTCAAAGAAGCGTCAAAAATCGTCGCTACTGGCGCATCCCCCCTCGACACTCAGGTCAGCATCAGAAGCAGCAGAGCTCGACGCCGAAACGCAAGTACTCACCAACCTACGAGCAAGCGGCCCATTGCGTCAAATCCTTGCATGATCTGATGAGCACTTCGTGTATCTGGATAGCTCTCAAGAGTATCAGTGAATGATCGACCGATCGTGCTGGCTTCTTCCTTACTTCCACTGTATCAGATACCCGTTCCCGAACCACCACGAAGACCTCAATATCGAAAGGTTCTAGGTCGCTACAACCGCTTCTCCTTGATCGATCGAAAGATATACCAGATCTCCCGAATTCAAGACAAAAGGGAAAGTGCTCAAGCTGTGAAGATCCCGAACCGCGTTGCGACACTTCGGCTTTGATCAGAGAAGATCGTCAATGAGATGCTCAGGGGCGAGAGGTCGTAGTCAAGCCGCTGTGTACAGAATGGAAGGTCGAGTGATCAGAGAATGTCAGTGAAATTCTTAGACCAGTGGCGGTCTCAAGAGGGAATACCGTAATTGGCACTTCGCAGCGTTGGCGTCGCGCGGTCGAGAAGGCAAAGTGATGATTGGGAAGTCCTGCGGTTGACACTCCACAATCTCTGCATGGCGCGAGGAGAGAGAAGGTGAATGCGACGTTTAGACCCATGGAACTGGTAGGAGTTGTGACCGTCAAAGAACTGCACGCGGGGTGCCCGAAGAACGTACATCCTTCGTGCCACTCCCACCTTCAGGTACCCAGAGAATGCTACTGAAATCCTCAGGCCAGGGAAGCGTAGGTCTCCGCGCAAGCAAACGATCGAGAGCTCCTTGCCTGCCGTTGAAATGGACGCTTATGCTGGCTCATGCGAATCACATGCAGCGATCAGCACTGCTTGCCTCAGTGCTCGCCGCGGCCATGGAGACGGCGCGACCAAGCTTTACGTACAGCACACATATCGGATGACACAGCTTTTGTATGAAAGCACTCACGCTTGATTCGACTTACTATGCAGGCGCTAGCTAGTGTCCGCTACTCCCAGAGCAGCGCAAAAGCGCATTTTCAGTACATGACATAGAGAGCCTTCCAGAGCAAATATGCCTCATGCATCTGCTCTCAAACGTACTTCAGACGCATAGCGATGTTCGCAACGATGAAGCAGTCACGCCAATGGTGACCGCGGGGCGTAAAAGTGTTGTCAGGTCAGCCTGATCGAGCCATGGTCAACATCGCGTGAGGAAAAAGACTTAGCTGCGCGGTTCTCCAACCCTGTTGAGTGATATTGTGTCGTGCTAAGTTAGCCCATCCCTTCAGACGAGTCAATGACCAAGGGTCAAGGTAAAGGACTTAGCTGATCAGGAAGAGGCGGCAGGGCTTTGCCGTGTGCGATCCAGTCCATCATCTTGGCCAGGTTGCTGCTGAGTGCTGGGATCTGTCTCGGCATCGGAATCAGATATCTGGAGCTTTGCGAGCTTGTCCTTCCAATCCTGGCCGAGACCATCGATGAGCGGAAGCTCCCTGCCGAGTTCCTTGTACAAAGCTGTCGCACTTGGCTTCTTAGGCTTCGAGCGCTTAGATTTCGAGCCCTTGGATTTCGAGTGCTTAGATTTCGAGCCCTTAGACTCCGGGACCTCAGGCTTCGGGTGCAGACGTTCATAGAAGTTCTGCATAACTGTCTTCTCCTTTGCAGGTTCCGATTGTACCCGGGCCGACGAAGGCAAAGGCGGCTAGACTTTGCCTTTGACAGCGCGGGGCACAAAATTGCGGTACCTGTTCACACGAGCTCTGGCCTCCTCGAAGCTCGTGGTGTTATCAGCGAGCGGCTGAAAGGTCTTCTCGGCTCCCTTATCGGCCTTCTTCTTGCCTGCGACAGTGGCCTTTTCTGGCTGAGAAGCAGAGGGCTCGGCCTTGATGTTCGGCTCAGTCTTGGTAGAAGGTTCGATGGATCTTGCAATGGCCGTGGCTTGAGCCTCATCCATCAATTGCGAGATGCCGTCCATGAATGGGTCGCTGGAAGAGGTATCGGCGACAGGCTTGGAAGCTTGCGGAGGAGGGCTCTCAGTCGATGGCTTGCGGAAAGCGGGAGAGTTGCCGGTGGTTCCAGGGGACAGATGAGCCGGTGGAGAGAAGGCGGGTGGCGGAGAGAAGCCAGGTGGCATCGGTGGACCGCGCACGCCTGGTGGCGGCATAAATGGGAGTACGACAGGCGCGCTGACATTGGAGACAGGAGTGGCGTGGCCGTAAGGAATCTGTTGTGGCATGTTTGGCGACATGCTTGGCGGCATAGGCGGTGGGAAGGCAGGTGGGTAAGCGCCGAAAATTGGAGGCGGCATCGCCGGTTGGACCATGATAGGCGGGAAGACAGCAGTAGCCGGTGGTGGGCAAGCCTGTGGTGCAGGTGAAGTATTGTAGACCGGAGCTTGGACGGGCGTCACAGGCTTGGCGGCGACAGGAGCTACGATGCATTGTTAGCAGTTGGACGTGGATTTCAGGGGGCGACAGGTAGCCTCACCTGCTGGAGTCGTAGCAGCACCACTGCCGACTGCCTTGGCCCCAGCTGCAGCCCTCTTCCTCGCCAGAACCTCCTCCTTGCGACGCAGAATCTCGGCCTTCTTGGCGGCCTTCTCTTCTTCCGTCGGCTCCGTCTTCTTCTTCTTGTGCACGGGCATCTCCTCTGGGTCAATCGACCCTGGCAGGAAGTTGCCGGTCTCTTGGCGGAAGCGGTGCGCGTGTGCCTCGTAGCCGTCGGTGATGGCTTTGTTGTAGGCATTCATGATGGGCTCCGGGATGCCGATCATGGCAAAGACCTCGACGTTGGGGTCTTCGCGGCCGGGCATGGCGTTGGGCACTTCTTGCAGCTCTTCCTTGTGCACCTGTTGCATGTGCACGCGCAGGCCGCCGGCGGTGCCGAGCTTGCGGTGGCAGCCGTGGACCTGGCAGTGGAAGTGTTTGGCCTTCTGGTGGTCGACGAGGATCTTCTGGTCGTCGAAGTCGCGCTCGCAGTAGTAGCACCACGGGCGCGCCAGGAGATCCCTCAGCGTGATTCGCTTGCGCTTCTTGCCGGCACCCATCGTGTGTCAAATGGCGCTGACACGCTGCGGTTGGCGAGAGGGGGGATGGTTGCTTCGTTGCAGTCGACGACGATGCTTGTCACCGTCGACGGTGGTGTGGTGTGGTATGGTATGGTGTGGTGTGGTGGAAGTGAGTTGAGGTGAGCTGGCAGCGGAAGATGATGGACAGGTGGACAGTGCGCGCGACCGGAATGACCCGAGCGTAACCGCAGTCCTCACTTTCCTTGGCACTCGCTAGCCCCTGACTAAGAGTCTCGCGGTACTCGAGCTGTCCTTCTCACGAATGATATGAGTCCGCCTGCGAGCAGAAACTAGTAATAGAATGATCTTATCCGTCTGCTTAGTCTATGAATGAGGCATGACATGCGTTTCTATTTCAGGGGACGACTCGGAACGATCATCCCATAACGGCGACGACGACAACGGATGTCAGCGAACGCCGCGATGCCTACGACTCGAACCGTCGGAAAGTGAAGCAATGCCACATCCGCCCTCGAACATTACATGGCTCTTTCAATGACCTGTAACTAGTCGATCGTACAGCTCCTTTGAGCAGTGGGAAATGCGCCCGCTCCGCCTGTTGGAACGAGCATGGCTACAGCAGAAACACACCAGCAAGACCCTGAACGAGCACACCACACTCACCAGTTGACATAGCGCTACCTGACTTTGATAGCTTATATATCGATCAAGAGTTGCGTGGAACAGACAATGGCACATTATACCCATTTCCGGCTGTCGAGGCACAAAGGGAGAACGTTGCTCTTTGATTGTGTTCCTTACACCTCAGCCAGTCTGTGAATGAGCGGCAATGATCGCACATAATTGACAGCAGGTTGCGTCTGCTATGGCAGAGATATCAGCCCCCGGCTCGGAACGTCCTCAGCATTCGTACAGACATGCCATTCCTGAAGCAGCGCGAAACTATGGCACAGACGAACCTAATCTTCGTACAGTCGCTACCGATTTGCGCAATGCACTCATCCAAGCAGAGCGAAATCATCTCACTGGCAGAGAAAAGCGTTCAGGCATATCGTTAATCGATAGCGCCCTCGAAGCAGCCAACATCGCATCCCGTAACCCTCGGCCAAGATCGTCCCCGCTGACCAATCTATCGACTCGTCGTACAAATGGATTCAAACAAGCATTGACAACTCGAAAACGAGATTACGGGACACCACCGGTGAAACGAAAGAATAACGCCTCGGAACCGTGGGGTAACAGACCTGGCAAACAAGGCGGACTCACAGCTGGTAAAAAGCTCGATGCGGGAGATGGAAATGGCTCAGACGGGAGCGATGACAACAGAAGGGGCAAGCGACCGCTACCCAAAGATGCGGACGAGCGGCCTCGGAAGCGGAGGAAAAAGGCAGACGAGCAGGCGCAAGAGAGCAGTGACAAGACAGCTGGGAGCGAAAAAGAAGCGCAAGGGTCTGTAAGACTGGACGAACAAGGTATACAGGGTCAACGAAGGAACCGTACTTCGTCGGACCCTCGTCCATATGTTGCAGGCTTGACAGTTCCAGGCGGCGGAGCAGGCGATCCTGATGACAGCAGCGGAGAAAGTAGCTCAAATCATGATGCCGACAGAGGCCATCGTGATAGTGACAGTGGGCTAGCTAGTGAAGGAAGGAAATCTCGTAACGATCAAAATGCAGCTAATGGTAGCGACAGTCTGCCGGACTACGAATCTGAAGAGCCAATACAGCCTGTGAGGCCAGGACAAAACAACACGGATGTCTTCGAGCAGCTCAGACCCGATCTCTCCGGTGCAGATCTCGTGACGTTGAACGATCTCCAAATCGGTAATTCATCGCAACACTTCCAGGATTATCTTGAAGACATATTTTCAGAGAATAGGCCTAAAGACGCAACATACGCCACAAAAGCGATCAACATAGTCAAGCAGTTGTCTGAGATATATGGAACTGGGAGACTCTGGGCCGATGCTGGCGACATCGAGAACTACGTCACCTTTGGCATCGATGAGGATGAAATTTGGGAAGACTTGTACGAAGAGGAAGAGGAAGATCCTGAAAGTGAGTTTGCAGACATATCTAACCCAACTGGACCTCGATGGGATCGTCAGTGGTCGCGTGTCGCAATCGAACTGGATTGCGTCAACGAACTCAAGGGACTTTACATCAGGGCGAAGCGTGTCGCACAAGTGCCTGCGGTAGGCGAGGATCTCAGCATCACAATCGACGATATAGCAGATCGTTCTACTAATCGTTATCTGTCTGAGCTGGAAAGTCTCATCAAGAACTATGAGTGGCGTGCAACAGTGAGCAGATGGGAAAGCTACAAAAACCTCTTTCATAACACCGAAGACAGCGCTGGACAACTGGCTGCACAGCTGGAAATGAAGCTTACAGAAATGGACCAGGCATACCAATCTGCATCCAAAGACGTCGACCCAAGAGAAGAGTTCTGGAATGTCGCGTGGGAGTGGCTTTCAAAGAAAGCAAAGAACGAAATTCAGAACAGGAAAGCCGAGACCATGAGGGCAAAGAATCGATTCGATGATCTCTTCGCACTGGTCATGACCTTGCAGAATGAGAGACAACTCGTGCGAGCGCCTGCGTGGCCGGAGAAGATGTCTGTTGAGGCCTACTGCGAGGAAATCAGCAAGACCATCGACGATCATCGCAAAAGAAGTCTGCGCGACGCACGCAAAGCATGGGAACATGCCATCGCTGTCAATAAAGCTCTGGAGAACCATGAGCGAGTGTCCGAGCTGGAGCGTGGTTTGGAAGAGATTGAATGGCGTGTTGAGTCAGGAGGGCAGCCTTTCACCATCAAGGACTGGGACAATTCTGATCTTCCCGAGTTTGTCCCAGCCTCGAAAGATCCCGCTGAGATGGCCCAAGCCATTGGCGTTGATAGCGATAGAGCAGCATTCCCAGAGCAAGGGACGTGGGAGTTCTCCAACATGCTCGGATCGGGTACGTATGGAAACGTATCTCTCTGGACGAGGAAAGATGAAAGCGGTAGCATCACTGGTCGCACTGCCATCAAAGAAGCATATCTCGGCCCCAGGCCTGGAAAATCCAAAGATTCATGGAACAACGCACGCTTCTGGTGTCATCCGATGAGTATTCGATATCCGATGGAAGCAGGAATCATGCGTCGTCTGAACGATCTCCAACATTCCGAAAGCATCGTACAAAATCTCGCCTACGCTTCCTACGACGCAAAAAAGATGTTCCGACTCTACCTAGAATTCTGCGAGCACGGCGACCTCAACGAACTCATCAAAGCCTACGCCAAAGCCGAACATCCCATCCCCGTCCGAGTCCTCTGGTCAATTTTCGAATCCCTCGCCGCAGCTCTCTGCTTAATGGAGACCGGCCACCTCCCAACCCTCACCCTTCCCCCCAACCCCTGGACCCCAATCCTCCATCTCGACATCAAACCCCACAACATCTTCCTAAAACAACGAAAACCCCCCACGACCTCCTGGCCCAACACTCCCCAAACCGTCCTCGGCGATTTCGGCCTCGCGCAGCAGTCCACGAAACCCATAGGCCCCGGCCAAGGCACGCGAGGTTACCGATCCCCTGAACAACAACTCTACGACGACGCCCACCCACGCTCTGGTGAGAAACTCGTCACGACGAAATCTGACGTTTGGGTCGTGGGGAGAGTGATGCTCACGTTGATGGAACGCGAGACACGAAATCAAAATCTTTTGGATTTTACGTTCGATGATGCGGAGGATGTGCCGAGGATCGACCCGGAGGTTTATGAGTATTATACGCAGAGGGATGCGAGGCTGGTGGAGGTTGTGATTTTGTGTCTGCTTAAGGATCCGAGGAATAGGGTTGGGAGTGAGCAGTTGTTTTCTTTGGTGAGGGAGGAGGTTACGAGGGTGAGGGATGGGGGCTGGAAGATGATGGAGAAGGAGGAGGGGGAGGTTGTGTCGTTGGGGTTGGTTTATGAGGGTTTGTCTTCGTCTACTTAGTGCTCTATGGTGCTTGAGGTTGGCGCGAGGATCTGTGTCCAAGGCATTGAGCTTCGAGGGATTGTGTGGAGGTAGGGATATGTCGGCTTGAGCATGTCGAGTTGAGAGGTCGGTGCTATAATATTGTCTCCATTCACACCCTTTTGCGCAAGGCAAGAAACTGCGAGCCTGTCCTGGCGGCACGTCTCCGGCCAATCCTCGGTGGCAAGCAAGCACGACAGGCGGAGTTGCAAGCCGATGGAGATCGCTCCACCACGGGGTCCTGGCCGGTCGTACGTTGGAACTTCCGCAAGTGGCAATGCCAGAGTACAGTATGGAGATATTAATGGCAATGTGACATACAGTCAGTCTTCCGTTCAATCTCTACTTCTCTGGCACAGAACTGATTCTTGACCAGATGTCTATGAGGTTCGCCACGAACGAATTGGCCTCGAAGCCTCCATATCTGGCCTTCGATCTCTGACGGATTCCATCCACTCTCAACTTCGGGAAGTCAGATCAGTCGACGGAAATCAGACAGGGCTATTCGCAGACCTGACCCACGAGGTGACAGCTTCGAAGACCAGTCTGGATGCGTTCAATTACAAGTCGTCGTGGCTTCACACCTCACCAGAACAGGCCGCTCTTGTCAAGATTGATCGGCTGGTAATACTGCTCGCCAACGCCGTTGTGTTGTTCGACAGATTTCGTAGCAATCTGGACGAGATCAATGCGATACATTCAGCAGGTGAACATGGTTTGTCGTCTTTTTTGCCACAACTTCGGGAACATCATATGGCCTGGAAGCTACAACTGGAATTGATGGATAGGTATGAAACGAAACAGAGGGAAAGTGGGAATGCGGAGATGGCTGACATCTCTTCAGGCATACAGAGAACGAAAGCGATGATATTTCTTCCAGTCTCGATCATGCCACAAACAAGCTGCTTCGCGAGAATGCCGATCTGAAGAGACGCATGGACGTGATCAAATGTCAAAGCAGCTGACCAGCTCAGGCGCATCCATGCGACCAGGCACAATTCATTCCTTTCAAGGTCACACATCCGACACCAATACAAGCGCCGATGACGACGATGCATCAGTCCATTCCGCCACTGCGTCATTCGAGCACACATTGAGCAGTTCATGGGTGTATCGCAGAAATCAACACCGCTCGGAAGTCCTGTCGATCGACACTTCTCTTCTGCGAGATAATGCTTGGTCCGAGATGTGTCAGAGCTCACTTTGGCAAACAAGTCGGCTTTGTCAGTCCTAGCACTACCTATTGACATCTCAGAGCTTGCGCACCGCAGCTGGTATCAAAGTCATGCTCGAGCACCTGACTTACCAATGATATCAGAAGAAGAGATTGATGTTGGTGCACTTGTGAAACAGGGCAAGGCTGGCTGGACGCAATTGAGCGATGAGCAAATCACCACTGTCGCAAATCAACTAATGCAGAAGGGCGGATTCCACACCATCCCTTCAAAACGAATACGAAAAGAGACAACAAGCACAATCCAGAATCAGAACACTCACCCAGCTCTTCTTGCCTCAGGCACGAAAAATCGTGGTGGCAGTGCACCAACCTTCAGCCGCACCACAGCCCAAACAAACCGAAGCTACCAATCCTTCACTACATCATAACTTACGTACCATCAGGCTCCAATGGCATTCGCGCCAATGCCTACAGTACGAAGCCACAGTACACGTACCGCTCGGCCTTGCCAAAAATATGACACCTGACTTGCACAGCACAGCACAGCACTCCGCAGGAACTAAGGCAAGGTGAAATCAGGCAGAACGGGATACATCTACTTATATTAAATGACTGGCTGCTCGTATGAGTTCTGGAGAAGAAGAAGACTTCCTGTACACAAGATCCATAATTTTCGAAAAACCACGCATATCCTTCCTCAGTCCACATCTCCGCTATCATGGGCTGCGCAAGTTCCAAACCCGACTATCGATCTCCAAATGCGAGATATGTTGCAGCATATCATGAACCGTACACTTTACAGAAACGACGAGGGGGAAGAGGTCATGGAATGACTGGGGGTGGTGCGGTTTTCGTGGGCGGTGGCGCTGCGTGTGGAGGAGGTGGTATGTACATGTAACGCGCTTGCTAGATTTGAAGAGACTTGATTGCTGACTGAATGTCTAGGCGGCGGTGGCGGCGGCTGTGGTGGTGGTGGAGGGGGCGGAGGAGGTGGATGCTGAGCCAGAGATCCTGTTATTCAGATTTTGACGACTACTACGAAGTCCAGCACATTTCGAACGTTTATTTTGGAGCGCAATAGTCGAAGAATATCTCACTTTTGAGGGAGCGAGGAGACCGCCTAAATCAAGACTTTAGCCGAGGAGATACTGCAAGAGGAAAGTTACCTGTCATACAAGAACGCATACCTGCGACTCTGCGAGTGATAGGCTCAACGTATCAACAGCTTTGCAAAATACCAGTAGCACATCGTTACACACTCCATATGATCGCACGGTTTCTCTTAGAATATTTCACACCATCACCGCATTTCAATATTCACCATGAGCAGTCCACTCCAGCAGCAATTGCGCATAGGGGTATGCGGGCTCGGAGCCATGGGAAGAGGCATGGTCAAGAATCTCCTTACCGCTGGCTTCGAAGTACATGGATATGATATCGTGCCATCGCTAGTGGAAAGGTTCACCCAGGATGGTGGCAAGGCTGCGACAAGCCCCAAAGAAGTTGCCAGCCGGGTTGATATCCTGCTTATCATCGTTGTCAACTCCACTCAGGTGTCCTCCGTGCTTTTCGATGCGGAAACAGGCGCTGTGCTTGGCCTCCCCCGGAATAAAGCTATCATCGTGTCTTCAACGGTTCCGGGAGCTTACATTCGCGAGGTTCGGCAGCGTCTGGATGTTGACCATGATCGACCTGACATTCACCTCCTAGACTGTCCGGTATCTGGCGGAGCTTCTGGAGCTGCGGACGGCACGCTCACCGTCTTCGCGTGTGGTAGTGATGAGGGAATGATTTTGGTGGAACCTGTGCTTTATGCTATCGGGAAGGATATCCACAGAATTCGGAACAGTTCCGGCGCAAACGGCGAGACAGGATCTGGAGCTAATGGCAAAGTCTGTCACCAGGTCCTTCCTGAGATCGAAATAGCTTTGGTCGCTGAGGTAATGGCTCTGGCTGCTAGAGCTGGTCTCAACACGCAAGAAGTCTACGATCATCTCCAAGCCGGAGTGGCTGCAAGCTGGATCATGGGCAATCGCATACCACATGCACTGGAAAATGACGACACTGTCCGTTCCGCGATGACAAACAGCCAGAAAGATTCTGCCATTATTGTGCGCACAGCAGGCGAGCTCTCTTACCCGGTTCCACTGGTCGCTGCAGCAGAGCAGATATACCAGACTACTGTGCACATCGGATGGCCAGGGATGGATGACTCGGCATTATGGCGACTTTACCTTCGCGACTTTCCTGACGACACTGTATATCAGCTTACCAAGTCAGCATCCATTCGCCCAGATTCTGTGATGAGTCTGCAAGATCTCGAAGACATCATGATCGGAGTCCACCTTGCTGCTGCCGCGGAATCACAAGGATTCACTCGGGCCATCGGTCTAGATGCAGAACAGATGTATGGTATCATCTGCGGCGCAGCTGGGTGGAATGTCCAGTTTGAGAACTATGCTCGGAGGATGAAGAAAGGCCCTTGGTATCTCCAGGAGATCGATGGTGCGAGGCACATTGGGATTAGGCTTGTAAGTCGTCTCATTGCAGACAACAGTCCGTGGAGCTGACCCATGGATCACAACAGGCGGCCGCAGTAAGGAAGGCAAGCTCCATTGGTGCTCCTCTTCCCATTGCGGCAACTGCGGTGCAGTTGTTTGAGTTGCAAGTCGGGCCTCTCGTGAAGTCGAGGTAGGGTAATCAAGACCTATCAGTATTGAGTTCAAAGCGGAATCGAGGCATGTGAAGAGTCGTCCGTGAGTATCATCCTTGAGAAGGATAAGGGTTATCAGTCTATCTGTCGTGCGGACAGAGCAGACGGTGATAGCACCCCTGATGGCTCTTCACCCGGCGGATAGCATGTGAATAGCAGACTGGCGGCTACCTTCTTGGCTCGTAATCTTTGCTCGGATGGTGAATGAAAAGGAGTATGGAACAGCAACGTGGCGTGGAAGTGACGATGTCCGGCTTGAGCCTCAGGCAGAAATTCTTGGCGTTTGATGCTCAAAGTTTGTCCTGCCCCTGCTCAGCCTCCCTTTTCTTCACTCACACAACGGTTAACTCTCCTGAACAACACCTCCCGCAATTCGTCAGAGATTCTCATCAAGAACATCTCAAAATCTCCCTCACTGCGACAATTATGCCTCATCCGGCAGGCTACGGCAGTATGCCGGTATAGACCCTATAGGGCTGCCAGCGTCGTATTTTACTGGCATCGCTTGTCGCACATCTCCATTCCGCTTCAAGTAAATGGCCTTTCGAATACTGACCGGAAAGAACTTTCCAGCCGAAGACGAGCGCAGACGTGAAGCAAGATTTTGGCGACCTCAGCGGCGCGCAGCAGTTCTCGATCAGCCGTTGAGTCCAGCAGAACAGCGAACGGATCCTGTACACATCGATAACCTGCTCCCCAACAAGCCGGAATGGACACTTCTCCTTGCTCAAATGATGGCGCGGCTGCTTATTGACTCTGAAGTCGTGGACGACTTTGGTTTCCTGATTGACCACAGCCTGTTCATCGCAGGAGCTGCCATTGCCGAGTCGCGGACAGATCTTAGCCGAGTCAGCCAGCGAGACCCTTCACAGAATCACGGACGCGTGGTAATCACTCGCTTATGAAGGAGCTTGGGAGCACAATGGCAGCACAATCAGACGCAAACTGGGCCAACAAGCTCGTTACTTTGCTGGTCTTGATGTACGTGTGGCTGGGCGAAGAGTGGCGGATGTTGACCATCTCGACTCAGACTTCATAGTAGCGGTATAGAAAGATAATTGAACTTCTTTATATCATACAGAACTCTGCATCATCCACCTCGTGAGATTTTGATTTCCATCTGCATCTTACAAACTTTCTCCTCTCACTACCTCCATTCAGGCGCCCCGCTTTGTAGGCTTGCATGGACCTTCTACCTAAATTTAGTACCTTCTACCTTCTACCTTCTACCTACTACCTTCTACCTTCTACTCTGTCTCTACGTCCTTATATCATCTCTCCGCTAAGTACACTAATATATATCTAGCTTAGCGGTCTATACTAAGCCTATAGCGAAGCGCCTAAAAGAAAACCGTACGGCTCCTATATAACCGTCCGGTATATAAACGAGAATTCGAATTTATAGAAGCACAACTATACATTAGATAGACAAACCTAAAAAAGCTGTTCTACGTAATAATACGATCTTTTAAAATAGCTATATAAAGTATACGTTAAAGTATTAAATTAAAGCTATAGATACGATCTTCTAAGATAGGTCTTCCGGTAACTGCATTTGTTCTACCCTCCTTTGTATTACTTATATACAAACGGTATGTAAAACGCTAAGTAAATTACGAGCGGACCCTTAGATTAACCGCCGCTCGTACCTCTAACTCTTAGAATACCTATATTCTTAACCCTTTGCCTTTATCTTACTACCGAGGGCTATATACTATTACTAGCATATATGTACCTTTACTCGTAGTAATTCCTTTATCTAGTACGTTCTTAGACTCGACTAGGCCTAACGAAGGGTCTAGAGAGTCCTTTAGACACCTATAGAGTATTTGCCTTGTCGTACCTCGCTATCGTATCTCGCTGTCGCCTACTAACAATATCGCGGCCTACTAAAATATACACTAATAGCATACCGCAACTAACCTACTAATAAATAGGCAATAGCGCTACCTCCGAGGGGCACTCGCAAGCAGCGCAATAGGGAGAAGAAGGATAGGGCTAAGAAGCGCAAGACTAATAGATAGTAGAATAAATCCGAGTAGCACTTTCTAATAGTACTTCTAGGTCGCGCCGCTATAACTCGAGAGCGACTAGATTTCAGTTACCTGCCGCCGGTCTAATAGCCCTAGAATAAGCGGGATTACTAGGCATAGTTCTAGGCTCGTTACGATCGTATTAACGCCGCCGATAACCTATTGTCGTAGGACTAAGTTAAGCAACTCGTGTATAATACCGCAGCTTCTCTAAAGGCTAAGAATATCTACCGTAATATCGTTACCGCTAGCCTTATTAAGCTATTAGATCGCCTTTACCTAGGAAAAGGATATTAGCCGAAGGACGTCTAGATCGATCTAGTCTTCGCGCTAATCTTCGGCGGCAGCGATGTTCTATAGATCTCGAAGATAGGCGAGGGTAAGAGCTTAGTATTTATAGCGTTTACGTATTTGACTAGCCTTATTACCCTCTAGTTTATACCGCTAAATCGCCTTAGCGAGGAGTAGGCTAAGGTCGTCGAGAACCGGTATTAATAGCTATAGTTAGATAGTTAGCTAGATAGTTAGCTAGGTAGTTAGCTAGGTAGTTAGCTAGATAGCATCGTTAATGCTGTTAATATTACCTCCGAAACTATAAGCCTCTATCCTAAGCTATACGACTATATTACTAATAGTAGATACTATTATATTATCCTTAGTCTAGAAACCGGTGCTAGTCTAGCCTTTAGAAAGCTCCTATAGGATCCTAAAGTCCGTGCCCGTATCGGCCTCGTAGTAATCGATAAAGTCTATCTTATTAATAAGTAGCGCGACTTTCGGAAGGAATATATATAGATCTTCGCTCTACGTAAGTTGCTCCGTAATAACACGGTCTAGCTCGGCTATTCTACGATAATGTCTAAGAATATAGAAGACTTTGTGCTCAAATATAGTAGATTTCGTCTAGTTAGTAATTAGCTATTCTAGACTAAGATCATTCGTAGTAGTGTCGATCGTCTAGATACTATATACGTCCTACGTACTATTCTAAAGAACTAGCTCCGCTTATATAAGTACCTCTATTTTACTATCGATAGTATATTCGATCTAGAGACTAAAGAAGCTACGCCGATAAATATTAAGAAGGCCCTCCTATTTATCGATAGCCGCAAGTATGTCTAGGATCTAGCTAATATTATTCGGTATTAGCTAGTCGCAACGACTGCTAAGTGTAGAGACTAGAAGAAGCGATATACCTAGGACAATAAAGGTATTAATATATATACTATAGTAATATTCTATACTAGCAGTGTCGCTAAGCGAGACTAGAAGCGCCGGTATAACCGCTTCTATAAGACTGTAGAGCATCTAGATAGGCTATCGGAACACCGGATTATAGTTGCTACTACTGCTTTTAGTATTAGCCTAAATATACTAGACATTGAGCTTGTTTACTAGACTAGGTTTACTCTTACGCGCGATATCGAGGATGTTGTCTAACGTCTTAGCCGTACCGGTCGTGCTATTCTACGTAGTTTAGCCTTTATCTTCCTGCTATACTATATCGATAATCGTCTTAAGCAGCCGCGGCTAGAATCTAACTACCCGGCAATTAAGCCTTACCGACGTAGATCGTATAGAGTATTCCGGCTATTAGGGCTCCGCTAGTCTAAGCTTCTAGGAGAAGATGCTAATACGCTAGGTGCTCGAGAAGCCGCTAATAATAATAATAATAATAGCGATAGAAACTACTAGACTAAGAAAGAGATAGAGCTTCGCGATAAGATTCCTCGGATTTAGCGGGAGTTCTAGAATAACTATCTGCGCGAACAATACGGCATATATCTACGCAAAGTCGTCCTTCGCTATCTCGGTAAGGATAAGGCAGTATATACCTAGTAACTACTAGCAGTAGAAGATTGCTATAATATCTATAACCTAGAACTAGACGCTCTTTATATCGATATACCTCTAGAGGGTGTTACTCCCCCGAAATTCAAGGCTCCGAGAGCCGGCACTCGTCTAGCAATTAGATTTAGTATACTAAAGGATTAGATATTAAAGCGGCCTACCCTTTAGTATCTAGATTAGTTAAGCCGTATTCGATTCGACCTTCTATCGACTAAGGTTATAGAGGATCCGATTCTAGCTAATATCGCTAATATCTTTACTACCGCTAACTTAGTTAATAAATAGAACGAGAGTATTACTATCGAATAGGATCTCCTTAAGTAGAAGGCGCTAGTATTTATAGACTAGTTCGAGAAGCTTTAGTAGCACGAGCAACTATTCGCTACCTTTTAGCTAATCGATACTCTAAAAAGCCTTAGTCTAGAGGTGTTAACTAAGTAGCGTGCTATTTATAATGCGAGGAAGAGGGCCGAGGAAGATAGATAGAAGAAGGCCGAGGAAGAGGCTACTCGAGAAGCGGCTCGTAGCGCCCTAAATATACGTCTATCGGATACTATACTGCTATCTATAATGCCCTTTACTCTATAGCAGCGCGCTGCTGCTCTAAATGAGTTAAGAAGCGGTATTGCAGGCTCTACTAGCGTATAGGCTAACCTCCTTTATAGCCGTAATACTTAGGTATTAGGAACTCGAGGCTAGGAGCGCCTAGGCTTATCTAGTAGTCTTAGTCTACGTACTTAGCGATAGCTACCTCTATAGATTAATCCGACTACTAAATAGGTATATACTCGAGCTAAGCGGATTCTTAGTACCGTTACTCGTACTAACGAGGAGCGAGGTCGCGTATTATATACTAAGCGTAGACTCTCGGAAGCGGGTCGACGCATAATAGGCTCTTAAGGTAGCTCTCCTAGCAGGCGTTAATGCTGAAATTGGCGGTAAAATAGCCCTAGAATAGCGCTAGAAATAGCAC